CAGATTTTCTTTTGGATTTTGGAATGTTTTCTTTGTACTTATTGACTGAGAATCCCAAATCACAAAATCCAAAATACTCCAATGAGCATTTCTATTGAGCATCATGTTGGCACTTAAAAGGTTTCAGAGTTTGGAGCATGTCAGATTTCAGATTTAGGATTTGGGATGCTCAACCTGTGTTATTTCCAAAATTTCTGTCACTTTTAAGAAGAACAAGCCATAGGCAGACAAGCTCTAAGTTTCCTTTTGAGACTGTGGAGATAGAAAAAGGGAAATAACGTTTTCTGTGTGTCTTTCAGATGGGTCAGTCAGCGAGCCAGACATGGCAGCCAACTTCTGCCCTGACCACAAGGCACCCATGGTGCTGTTCTTGGACCGAGTTTATGGCATTAAGGATCAAACTTTTCTGCTGCACTTACTAGAGGTTGGATTTTTGCCTGACTTAAGAGCCTCTGCCTCTCTAGATACAGTAAGTTGCAAAAATAAGAAAAATTATTTTCCCATCATTGTAAAATTAGTAACATTGGGCTTAGAAACAAATGTTTTCTATCTACTCACTGATTACATTTTAGTAGCCTGCTTTGAAAGGTGAGAAAACAGAAGCACCTGAAATGGAAGATCTTAATTTATTGGGCCAGAGACTGAGACGTAGGTAAATTTGACCTCAGATGTTCAGTCCAGCTCCCTCAATTGCCGAGTGTCTCAGTCTTGGCAGCATTTGTTCTGGGAAGGCTATCCTGTGCATTGTAGAATGTTTAGCAGTATCCTCGGCCTCTACCCGCTAGACACCAGTAGCACCCCAATCCACCCCCAACACCCACTAAAACCAATTTCAGATATCACCAAATGTCCCCTGGAGGACAAAATCCCCCTCAGGTGAGAACCATGGCTCTGTTGTTTATGCAAAAGGCTGGCTTGGCAGCTTATAGGTTGGAAATACTCTTCCCACTCTCACTCTTTAGTTTCATACACTGACCATAAAGAAGGATAGGTCTGAAGCCAGGGGCATGACAAAGGTAAATAGGAGAGGACAAGGGCAAATACAAGTATGGACATCAAAGATGAGATAAAGCAGTTCAATATCAACAGACATTGAGACAGGAGGCCCCAGGAGTTAAAGAGCTTAGACACCAGATACCACAAGTCAGGATTAAGCAGAGAAACAGTACACCAGGAGTCCTGGGTGCAAGGGGAACAGACAAACTAGATCAGCATAAGTCTAAAAAACATCTTGCCGGTTTAGGGGTGTTTTTAGAGTCAGTCATAAGGTTTCTCAGAGGCTCCACCTGGTGTTCAACAGAGATACAAGTCTGAGTTCTGTGATGGGTAGTCAGCGGCCAGTGCCTTAACTAGGATGGATTCCGTCTCAGTGGATTACCCAGATTTGGACAGAAAAAGGAGCCCCAAGCTGAGTGGGAGCTCCAACCCTCTCTGTGGCATGGAGATGAGAAATGGTATATCCATGACAGTGTCAGGAGCATACGATCCTTTTTGATAATTAAAACAATGCTTCCACCACTACTACTGTTTTGAACTTTTCTATAAATGTCTTGATTCAAAAAAGTAATAATTTTCCTAACTCCTGGGAGCTCCCCAAGGTTCCTGATCAAAGCATATAATTTTTTATAGATCAAATAATGGCAAATG